TCAGTCCTGGCAACATTTGACTCTTCCTTGGCAAGTATGAGAGAACAGCCAAGGGATCCTAAAGCCCAGTTCTGAAGGTGGCTCTGCTGGGCCCTATCTACCCCTGCCAGGGCTCATGGTTCACAAGGCAGCCCCTGAATCAAAGAGATGGAGAGAGGTAGGAAAAGTGCTTTGCTGGGGTCCCAGCCACCCACTCTGCAAACAGAAACACGGACACTGTGTGCTCCTGTGGGGGTCCAAAGGCCTGAGAACGCATGGAGAGCACAGCTTCTGCTTCCACTTGTGCAGAAGAGCACGGTGGGCAGGGCTGTCTCTGCTCCCTGGGTCTCTGACTCCCTGGCAGGGAGGAACTGGGCATTGTTGCCAAAAATAAACGTTCCCTCTCCCGCTCCCTGGCTCCTGGCTCCCGCTCATTAGGATGCGTGGCGTTTGGCTGCGGTCCCACACCTTGCAGCTCATTATAAATATGCAGTCGCTGCTGGCGCTACCCCAATCATCTCTGCAATCAGAGCTTTTAATTAGGTTAATTAAATTGTATCAAATCTCGCAGGGACGCAGTTCACTGATGCTGATGAGGCAGCCAAAACAGACCCCAGCTCCTCCGCTAATGAAGGCCGTTGCCTGCCTGAGCAGCAAGGGAGCAGGAGCGCATAATAAACGGGCGCGTCCTCTGGGAGGAGCTGCTGCCCAGGCTCCGAGCTCTGGGGACCTGGCAGGGGGTCTGCATCAAGCAGACCAGGCTCCAGCTGCAGCAGAGGTCCCCACCCCAGGGACAATCCTCTTCACTCGAGAACTAACCAGCGCAGCTTCAGGAGCCTAGGCAGATGGGCAGTGTTAGGGCCATGAGTAACTGCCATGCCCACAGCAAACTTGAGTTTGTCCCCAAGATCCACTGACTCTACCTGGGGTCTCCTCTTTACTTCTCCCCCAGAATGGCCCAACAAGGCCAGGACTCTCTCTGCTACACACACACACATATACACACACACACACACACACTCTTAGTCCTGTCACTGCCCCTCTGATTGTCTTATTAGCCAGAGAGGCTAGGCTGAGACTAGAAAGCCCACCTAGCCACTGCTAGCCTAGTCTCCATCTGCCATGGAGGCCATCTGCCCCTCCCTGATGGGAGTTGGGAGGTGGTTTATAATGCTACCAGCCAGTAACAGGATGGGGTGCCACTCTCCAGTCTCCATGTGGCAGATGGACCCTGTATTTTCCCACCTACCACCCCACCTAAAGAGCCCTCTCTGAGGGACACTTGTCCCAGACCTCCTGGGATTAAATTAGCTAGGGATGGGAAATGGCCATTTCCTTCCCTTGTCCCTCCTCATCCTGAGCCGACTGTCCCATGCCCTGGCAATCCATCGCTGGCCACTGGAGACTAGGCTCCAGAGCTATAGGGCTCTGAAAAGGTCCTCCTCTGCCTTTAATCAGGAAAACAGGTGCTGCCACCCCCAAAGGGGCTGTCCCCAACACTCTACTCAGCCTGGCTCCAACCCCCTCCTCTTAACCCCTCAGTCACTGGTATCAGTGTCTCTGAGCAGATGAGGAGAGAGAATGGGGAAATTTTCAGTGCTCTCGGGACAAGTTGTTTCTGCTGTAGAAGCTGGTTTTTCGGTTTGGAAAGGTTTTTTTTTCCACCCAGTAATGTGAAAACATGAAACCTGAAACCAACCCCCAACATTTGTCACCTTAGAGAGAAGCCTTTGGGGTAACTGGGAGAAAGCTGTAAATGAGTCAGGCTGATTCAGGGCAAAGGGGGGGCTGCCCAGCTGCTTCCGGGCACCACGGTTTCATTAACACTTATGATCTGAGCATGCCCATCAGGTGACAGACGACAGGGAAAGAGGAAAGAGCTTCCTTGCCACCCTCTTCTTACCCCCAAACACAGCATCCCCTGGATAAATTCCTCTTGCCTAGAAACAGCTAGGTCCTTGGCTCTGTTCTGAACCAGCCTATGCTACCACCCAGCAGAAACGGAGGGCTCCAGACTGCATAACTGCCCAGGCACCAGTGTGCCCCCTCACACAAGACAGGAAATAGTCATGGCCATGGCCATCACTGGGGCCATCAGGCCAAGCAGGCAAGATGGACAGGGAGAGCTAGGTATAAACATCAGTTAGCGGAGGTAGATTGGACAGAACTTCCCAAATGTAATGAGAGATCCAGGAATAAGGGACAGGGAGATGCCTTCTAGGGAGTCTGAAGAAGCAGGAGAGAATTTTTCCTCTGACCAGAGCAGTTTAAGAAAGAACAAGAAGCATGAACTGGGCAGCTGCTTCTAGTCTCCTAACTCTAAGTAGTGCACATAGGAAAGGAAACTGCCTCTCCCCGTCTCAAAGCTTCTCTCTGATCCTTGCCTGCACTTTCTGCTGAGACAGACCCACAGAGCTGGTAGAAACCCTGCCAGCAGGGAGGCCCCATGACCTGGCTGGCTAGAGAGTGCACTCTCTGACCCTAGGAGGCAGCTGCACAAGCTCAAGTAACCTGCCAATTCAGCCCCAAGACAGTAGTTCAGGTCGACCCCCAATTCCTCCATTCACCTGGGGCTTTGGGCCAGTACTCCCACCCAAGGTTTGGCCTGCCCTGCCCCAACGCCCTGTGCATGAGGCTCTGGGAACTGGCACACTGGGAGAGCTCAAGGAGGAAGGGAGACCAGCACCACACACCTACTTGCCTCACTGTCTCAAGTCCCAACAGGCCCTGGCCTCACCGGCCTCCACAGGCAGGCAGAGTGGGTCTGCGTCTGCTGGCTGCCTTCCCTGATGGAGGACGTGCAGCTCTAATTATTCAGCACCCCACAGCCAGCAGCAGGGGAGGGGCAGCAAGCTACAAACACACACTCAAACTGCACAGAGGGAGACACCTACCAGGTCTTGGCAGAACCACCCTCTGGGAAAACCTGGGGCTCCACAACAGAGCCCTGGGAAAGACTCCAATGCTCCCTGCCTGGTCCTCACTAGAAATGGGAAGGGAAAGTCCTTTCTGGACCAGTCTTCTTCTTGGGGCCACACTAATCTCAAGCTCAGGAGGAGAAAAAAATCTTTTAGTGGGAGCTCTCCTTCATGGCATTAAATAAACAAATACACACTAAGCACCTACAGAGTACAGAAGGCTTCTGACAGAAGCCAAGTGTGCTAAGAGGGTGGACACCAGCTCCCTGAGAACTAATCCCAGCAAAGGGGCAGCAGCTCCACCTGCTGGGCCCTTTTCCACTCTGTCACCAAGAATCAGTTCCTTCTAAACTCACAGAAAAAGATTATTTTGTTAAAGAATAAAGCTAGGACTTGACACTCTCCTGCTTTGGTCAGAAGGGCCCTAAGATGTGAGACTGGACTAAAACTGCCAGGTTCACCATTTCTGATCGTTGGATGGACCTGGGGGTTCCATGTTATCCATGTAGCTGCTGCTTTGGAAGACCTGGTTTGTATGAGAGACCTGAACAAGAGCCCTGTCTCACAGAAAAGCCCTCCACTTCTGCAGGCTGCCCACAGCCCTGCTGGTACAGCCACAGCAATGTGCCATCAGCAGCCCAAACCATCCCTGGGCCTAGAGGTACTATAGAAATAATACTCTCCCCTTCCCAGTGAGCCAGGAGTGTCGAGTCCCACTGAGCACCATAGCATTAAAGCCCTGCCTACTTTCAGAACCCATGAGGCTAGAGCCTGACTTGGGTTAAGCACAAGGGGCAGCCAACGTCTTCCCTTAGAATTCCTGGGCCCCAGAGATAGCCCTCAGTGCCACGTAATCAGGACACCTAGCCTCATCCCTATAGTTCTCTGATTACCTCCAACCTAGAAATTACGGTACTACAAGAGGATGGACTTTCCTGCTTCGTCTGGCTCATGCACATACCTCTTTAAGTGTCACTGTGTCCATGTACCAGAGGGTGTGCAGGTGCCTTGTGCATCTGGTAACATGACAGTCTATGAAGCACGTGTAACTTTGTGCAGGCATATGCTTCATGAGAAGGCATTAGGTATATTTACTGCCTATCCTCTCCCACCTTCCTACCAGCAAGGGCAGAAGTACCCAGTTGTTTGATCCCAGAAACTGATCACTGCTAAGTCTGCTCACTCCTCTGACCAGCATCCCCGGGGTGAGTCCCTCCCCTGGCTTGGGACTCAAGTCTCATAAGACTTTCAACATTGACTGAGCTAATAAGCAGCTCCTCAGAAGGGAGTCCACACACAGACTGGGAGCACCTCCTTCCTGAGGGCAAAAGCTGCTAGCTTCTGTTCCCCCAGCTCTTCTTCCCATTTCCCAGGGCCCCCACACCTGAATCCCACTGGGTTACACAAGGAAACAGTTTTCCAGTCTAGGCTACTCAGGAAACTAACAGTCATGGGCACTTATTAAGTATTAACAAGTTTTCAATCTTTCAAATCCATGCACAGCTATTCCCCCTCCAGAGACTGAGATGTAAGCGAGCCTCCCAGAACTCTTCTCCCTGTTCTCCCACATTTGCTCTAAGCATGCTCAGTCCTGTCCTGACTGGCCTCAGCCTACGATCCCTGAAGGGGCAGGTAAGAAAAGGGTGAGATCCTGGAAAGAGAAGGAAGCTGCCCCACACATGCTGGGGTCCATATTCTCAGGTTAAAGGACTGTTCCAAGCCATTTACAGCCTTGAAATCGTGAGTTGGCCCGAGTGCAGAGGACAGGAACAGAGCCAGGGCTATTCTGATTTGACCTTCATCAAGACAGAGGTGCTTCCATGGGTTCCTTGTTCCAAGGTTTTCTATCTATAGCTGTAAAGTATAAGAGAAAAAAACTCCTCCTTGGATAATTTACAAAGCTACGTAAATATCCAATAAAAGAATAAATGAAGATAAAATCAGTCTACCTACTGGATATTATTATGCAATCATTAAAAATAACACTTATTTTAGGGCCGGCCCATGGCTCACTTGGGAGAGTGTGGTGCTGACAACACCAAGTCAAGGGTTAGGATCCCCTTACTGGTCATCTTTTAAAAAAAATAAAAATAATAATACTTATTTTAATTTTTACCATGAGCATATATTTCTTTTTAAAAATGTAATAACGTTACAAAATGGAAAAGGATAAATGAGTTCATTGAAAAGTTAGGATATAAAAATGTTTAAAATAATTACAACTACAAAACACAAAAATACAAACAAAAACAGTCATAGCTTTACAAAATGGAGGAAATAAACAAGAATGCTCACAGTAGCTGTTTACCTCCACAGCTCTAACCCCTAGCACAATAAGTATGCAATAAATATTTGTTGTTCTTGAGTAAGTACTGGGATTAGGGGTGAATTCTATTTTCAAAATCTGCTATAATGAGATTATATCACTTTCATAATGAAAAAAAAAATTTTATGTAAGAGTATTTCAAAAAGTTCGTGGAAAAATTCGTATCATCTTTTAATTCCATTTTTCCACGAACTTTTTGAAGTACCTGGGTATAAAAATGAGACTGACTTTACAATGCAAAAACAGTAACACAGGGGAAGGAGGCTTTAATGATGTTCATAGAAAGACATCAAATGTCAGATCAACAATAAATTATGGGTACAAACAGGAAAACCATGCCATTTGGACTAATGGAATTTGAAGTTACTAGGAAAAAAAACAGATTTCTTTTCAATGCAGAATAATAAGGCTTATCTATAACATGTCAACGTTTTCGACGACTCTGAAATTTGTAAATAGCTGGGGAATTCACTGTTTCATTCTTCACCTTTACCTTCTGAGTTTTATCCTACAAAAGAGTAAAAAGGTGATCAGTAAACAATAGGAGTGGGTTTTGCAAAATAGGAAGGTTAATAAACTACCTGTCAGAAAGCCCCCAATTCAGCCCTTCTCAAAGTTCAGAAGAGACACAGCCCTACTGCCCGAGGCATCCACTGTATGTATGCAATGAATTAACTTCTCCCGTGGGCATCTACAATAGTACTAACTGTGTACAGTCCTTGGGAAAACTGAGAAGGAAGGTGCTCAAATAATTGTTTTGCTTAAAATTACAATTTTAATTCTCTCACAGAACCTTGGATGAGAAAGGCTGACCTAAATGATCTGCAAAACTAAAGAATCTGACATTTAGAGGAATGATAATAATATGAAAGAGGCATCTTATATTCCTTAGCTCTGCTATTTAACTACACAATGTTGTCTATTTTTAAACACCAATGACTGACATGCACTGTTTTGTTAACCTGTTTAAATGTTACGGGAGCTGCTCATAAGCTATAAAGTTCATACGCTACCCGATCCTACCCTTTGCTCTTCCAAGGCACTGACTAATAACCCCCTTATTACTGTCTTAATCAAGGAACATTTCAACACTGTCAAAGTAACAGACATTGGCTCAAACCACTGCCCCTTAGGAGCAGACATTTTCACAGGGGTTGATTTATACACAGCTGAAATCCAGTCTCAGTGAAGACCTTTACAAGAAAGAAAGAAAGAAGAGAAGACAACCTACGGCTCTCTCCCCTCACCATAAGATCTTTGCGTGTTTGAATTTTCTGTGCAATAACGAACAATTTCTTCTCTCGATCAATCCGCTGTGTAAGGCAGTTATATTGCTTTTGCCTTTCCTTAGCTATCTGCTGCAGAAGAAACATACACATTTTCAATAAAACAATTAGTGGGACAAAAATGAATAAGAAACTGTTTCTCAACCCATTTAAGCCTAAATGCATAAATGGTTTCATCAACTCCCTCCTTTCTCTAGAAACAACATAATGTCATTACTATAAAGTTTCCCATTTTAGGAACATTGCATTCTAGAGCTGAAAGGAAGCTTCGAGACTATCTTATCGAAACCTGTCATTTTACAAATGCAGAAAAATGAGGCCCAGAGAAGAAAAATAACTGGCTCAAGATCTCAAGGACACATGGTTCACCTGGAGCAGAGTCAGGACTGTCCCCGAGTCTCAAGGATCCCAGGAATCTTTCCACTACTACATTAAGCTTCTTCAACCTTTGTGTGAGTGCCACAGTTACCTGAGATGATGGCAGGAATAAACCGATATTGGAAACCCTACACATATTGAGCAGAAAGCAACAGAAGGATCACCAGGCAGCACACTGGTGCCTGAGAATCTTAGAACTCAGAGTACAGAAGGATTTTCTCAGCAAAAGCTGACCTGAGAATTCTCACTGCTAATGACTCCTCAAAGAACACTGGGGTCATTAAGGTTTGGAAAATCATAAGCCTCAGAGAAACTGATGAAAGCCTTGGGTTCTTTCTTGAGATAAATGTACATACATGTTTGTACAAAGCTGTGCAAACATACATACTTATTTGCACAAAATTTCAGTGTGGGAGGTGAATGTTCACAGACCTCCTAAAGCCCATTCACAGATTGTCCACCTCCTCCAAGTTACATACTAAATTCCCAATCCACCCACTAGCAATTTCTTAATAAAAATAACTTCGTTTTAAGCAAAAAAAAAAAAAAGAAAAAAGAAAAAAAGGAACTATACTACTACACAAAAATGGCAAGACCCAAACCTTCCAAATTTCTCAAAAGCTATGTTGCTGAACTATTCCACACAGGAATTTGGGATACTAATCTCTTCAGGAACTACCACAATACTTGAGAAGTGTCAGTGACACAACTAATTGAAAATATAACTAATTGACAAACAGGGTTATCACAAGAACACTAGAACAGCTCCTCAGTTGGAAGTGTTATCTACACAGAGGGGAATATTATTGGGCCTCAGACTTCAACAAGTCACCGATTCCAGCACAGTCTCACAGCAGTGGTTTCAGACAGCTTTTGTTTTCACTTTATTGCACAGACTGTCAAATTTATGAGATTACCCAATATAGTCAAACTAATTAGGGGTATTTATATTACTAAAGCAAGTTTAGCTGCCTCTGAGCTAGAGAAAACTGCTGTGAAATTAAACATTGGAAGCAAAACTGATGCGGTGTAAATGATTCAAATCAAAACAGAACAGCTGTCTGCTTGAAACACATTGACAGCATTTTTTTAAATGAATCAGTCGGAAGTGAGAGTTCAACTCCAGAAGGCTTTTGAGGAAAAGCATGTCCTTTGCACAACCCAGTTAGTGATGGAAAGCACCATAAGGAAAAGTCAATACAAAATTTTGTTTACAAATACATAATATGAAAGACCTTATGATATATGTATTCACTGCTGGAGGTTCAATATCAAAGTATACCAAATCCCTTATTCTTCAGTGCCCCCTCCTTTTCTCTACATTTTAAAAACATTGGCGTCTGTTACAAGCATTAAAAGGACAAAGCACAGAATCAGAACTGGGATTCAAACCCAGAACCTGAGCTCCTGACCACTGTACCACATGTCCTCCAGTCTTAGAAACCAAGAAACCCTCCTTCACTTCCATCCCTATCATCAAATCTTCCTTCCACTTGAGTTTTCCACTAATAACCATATTAAATGCAGTGGAAAAAAAGATTCCCCTAAACTCACATGTAAAGAACAATGGAGAAAATTACCTTAAGTCGAGTCTGATGGGTAACTCCTTTCACTTTTTCCTTCTGCAAGGTCTCTATCCTGGGTCTATTAAAGACTCTGTCGACTAGTTCCGGGGCTGTCTGCAGGTGAGTTGCAATATCAAACTGTTCAACTAAAATTCAAGACAATCCTTAAGGCACTCTCTCATACCAAACAACACAGACTGATATGGTAGACTGTCCCAGAAACCTTCAAATATTTCATACCTTCCTTTTTGGTGTCAAAAAAGAACACATGCTTATTCTGTTGCTTCCCCTGGAAATCCAGCAGATGGAGCTCTGATTTTAGTCTTTCGATTTTCTAGAATATAGAATATGGTCTCACTTTATATTGAGTTCTAATGGGGTATCAGAAATAAATTTGCAATGGTTTAAACCATTTCACAGATTATCATCAGCCAGCAAAGAATTTGCTTCATACTTTTAAGGGAAGGGACACTAAAATTTATCAAGCACCAACTACACGTCAGGTACTAGGCTAGGCACTCCACAAAATTCAATCCTTGCAATAATCCTGTAGAGATAGATATAAGGGAACAGCCTCAGGGAGGTTAATTGATCCATAGTCATGGGGCTAGTAATGGCAGAGCCAGAATTCAAACCTATGCCGGTCTCCTTCCCAAACTTGAACTCTTTCCAATCCCCCATGCTGACTACCCTTTAAAATCATTATCACAATCAAGCAAGATTGTAAATGCCAGAAGGAATCAGCTGGTAACTACAAATTGATGGATTTATGTTTCCTTTCTTAATCAACAAAATACATCAGAACAAAGAGTTCATTCTTACCTTAGCTTCTGCAACCCTTTTCATTTCTATATATTTGACATCCTGAGTTCTCATCAGCTTTAGCTGCTCTGGAGTCACTTCTTCCTTAGTTTCCTTAATAACATGAACTCCATCCTAAAATCCAAATTGAAAAGATATATTCCTTATTAGATTAAAATCATTAATAAGTTGTGGGCACAGTCCATGGTTAAAACAAAGACAACCGAATGCTGTATGCTAACAGCAATTGAAGCCACTAGGCCTCCAAGGTGCATGTTCTGTGTAGCACCTCCAGTCATCCACTCTTAGAACAGCTCCAGGAGTAGGACAACTCAGATTCAGAAGCAGAAATGCATGCTCCTCATGAAGGGGCAGGTTTGCCTTGAATACTGACCAAGAGCACCTGAACCAGAGAATGGCTAAGTTAAGTCCAAGGATCCTTCCTCTCCATTTCCTCCCCGATCCTTATTTTACAACAGTTGGAGCTCAAAACACCAACTGATCCATTAGGCACCCACCTGGAGTTTAACCCGAGTCATTTTATAGTAGAATTCATCTGGATTTTTTTCAAGAGCCTTCTTCCGGAGCGCTCTGAGGTATTCTTGTTTTTTATGGTAGTCACTAAAAAAAAACAAGTTAACTGAGGTTCATAGCAAAAAAAATAAATAAATAAAAATAAAAAAATAAAACCCACAATGAGCAAACTTTACAAGCATCTAAAAGTTCACACAAAATGAAACAAAAAAGCTAAAGCACTGACTAGATCTGATCCACTCCACCGTCACTAAGTTGAGCTTATGTCTCTGTAGGGCCCTCTCCTATCCCAATGGAATCTGAAATTAACCATCCTCATACCACACACATTTTAGTGCCACTTACACCATTACAGAGAGACACCAAACAAAGCACAAATTAAAACTCTTCAGACAGGGTTCTGGTGCAAGCTTGGGCACCAAATGACCAAATATGACTCAGAAACTACATGGTGCAGTATAGCATAATGACAAGAATTGTGGACTCTGAAACCAGACAGTCTGGGTTCAAATTTGAACTCCACCACTCTGGCTAAGTAAACTTGGATAAGTTAGTTAACCACTCTGTACCCCAATTTTATCTGCAAAATGGGTATGATAATCGTAAGGTTACTTACTATTATCCCAGAAGGTTATTTTTTTTTTTTTTCTGACCAGTAAGGGGATCGCAACCCTTGGCACGGTGTTGTCTGTGCCACGCTCAGCCACTGAGTGCACCGGCCATCCCTATCAGCACGCTACCGGGGCTGCACTCTACCGAGTGAGCCACCAGGCCAGCCCCCAGAAGGTTATTAAGAGGAATACCTGAATGTCAAAATTATAAATCTCTCAGAACACTGCCTGGCCCAATAACAGCACTCTATTATTATAAGCCTTAAAAATTCTGGGACCTAGAGAAATTCACTTAATCCATCACCACCATCTGTACCAGGAGCACAAGAAAGACCTCAGCTGACGTATGGCTAACAAATAATTATAAAGTATTTTGCAAATAAAGTGCCAAAGGAGAAGAAGAATGGAGATAATTGTTTTATAAAATGTTTTCAGAGTTCATTATCACCCACGCTCAGTCTCATGAACACATCTTTCACATCTCTTCATTCCATACCACACATATGGTGACGTAAGAGACTCAACAAATGGAATTTTAGATTATATCTTGTAGTTCAAAAAAGGAGAGAGAAAAAAGATTCAGCTTTTAGTTCAAACACTGGGGCAGAGGCAAATCAAAGCCACCATGAGAAAATGATCTGGAGCAACATAATAAAAAAAAATGCACAATGCAACTCCAGTTAAATAAATAATGATCTGCCTAAACAAAGAGAGACATTTAGGGTCACAGAAAAGTATCTGACAGGCTGCCAGAACTTTGGCCATTCTATCAATGGCAGGAAACTATCCCCTGTTGGACTCTCAGGCAATTCAGCTGCAGAGCAGGAAGGTTGCAAGTTTTCTTGGCAGCACCTCTACCAGAAAGACTAAACTCACTCGGCACGAAGTTTGTAATCTTTCTTTTTCTCCAGCAGGCCCAGATGTTTTCGAAAGCCGGGCTAGAAGACAAAAGAAAAAAACAACACTTAGCTTGCTCAGCAAATATATACTCCAATGAACATGACACCTGACAGAAACAGGAGTCTCTGCAGGGCTCAGTAAATCCATGTCCTTGGAGCCAACCCGCTACCCTGTTCCCTTTCCTCCCCCAAAATGGGCTCTGCCCAAGGATGAGAGGGACCATGCCAGGTCACAAGCACTGCCATAGTAGGTTTCCTGGCCTATTAAGGACAGAGGGAGGCAACAATGACTCGGCACTAAGCAAGCACTTGCCAGTTGTACTAAAATTACTACAGACTTAATCCAAGGGTTTATAAAATACTATGAAGGGAAAACATAGTAACACGGAGGCAACTGTGGTAAGGGAACTAAATTTAGAGTCTGGAGACGGGTTCAAATCCAAGCTTTAGGTCTTAACATCTGTGACCTTCGGCAAGCCACTTAACTTCTCTGAGATGCTGTCTCCGAACTGGAACCTAACTGAGAAATAATGGTACCTACTTCTCAGGGTTATCGTGAGGATTCAACGAGCTTCTGGAAGTGGTAGTGCCTGCATATGGCTTGGTACATAGCAGGTGCTCAGCATATGTTTACTGTTATTACTGTACCTGTGTACAAGGTATGAGAGAAAACCAAGTGGGACAGAAAATACTTTCTCTGACACAGATTTGAGTAGCATGGAGGGTACAAGAATTAACTCTTGTTATTATCTTTCTACAAGCTACCATATTTTGAGCATTTTAATACCTGTCAGGGTCTGTGGTGGATTCTTTTGCCTACATCATCATAATAGGTCACATTTATTAAGCACTTACTCTGTTACAAAGCAATGTGCTATGCTTGTTACACAATCTCTTTTAATCCCCACAACAATCATGGAAAGTAGGTAAAATAGGCACTATTGTTATCCCAATTTTCCAGAAGGGGAATGAGGTTTCAAGAATGATATGCCCAAGAAGACAGAACTAGTAAGTGGAAAATAAAACTAGAATCCATTCTACTTAGAGCCACAGTCTGTGCTCTTCCACACCCCACTAGACTGTGTCCTCTTCTGCTCAAAATAATCTTGACTTCTGAGGAAATATATACTTTTCTATTTAAACTTGCATAATAACTTGGGTGGGATTTTTAACAGTGACCTTTCTCACCTTTTATCCTTCAAGTGATGCAATAAATAACCCAATATTTAAAACAACACCCAAAACCTCTCCTGATAATTTTTATTTTAATTACTGCAGATAAAAGGAAGTTGACAGAGTGGGGAAAGAAAACTCAAGGGTCAAAAAAGCAACAACATCAGGAAGAAACCTTGAAATTTGTCATATACACTTGAATGTATATCTGGATTATAGACAGGAACCTGGTAATACAACTAAAATAGCTTAAATAATAACACACAGCCCCTCCATGCAAAATATCTTCAGGAGCTCCCCCACTGCCTCACATACAGGATAAAGTTCAAACTACCCATATAGGGAATGTTTGGGACTGGCGGATTGGCTCAGTTGGTTAGAGCACAGTCTCATAACACCAAAGTCAAGGGTTCAGATCCCTGTACTAACCAGCCACAAAAAATAAAATTAAATAAAGGGACTGTTCGTGTCAATGTGTTTACCCACCTTTCCAGCACAGCCTTCTCCTCACCTTTCCCACAAAGACCTTCTATTGCTACTCAGATATGGCTATGCCATGTCCTCGGCCAGCCTTGAAAGCCCTCTCTTCTCTGCTAATTCAAATCAACTACTTACAGCTTTGACTTCGGATATGCTATTCAATCTCTTAAGCACCAGATTCCTTATTTGCAAAATGAGGATAACATCCACCTCATAGGGATGTTGTAGGATTATATGAGACAATTCTTGTAAAACATGTAAGGCTATGCCTAGCATATAGTAAGTGCTGAAAAAGTGACAGTTTGGCCTTCCCAGTCCACCAAGTTTCACCATAATGCTTTCTTGTCATCTCTACTATTCCCACTCACACTCCTCATTTGGCATTTTTTTATGTGCCATCTCTTACAAAGTTGCCTCCTATTCATCTTGTAGTAGTCTCTGGTTTCAAAACACCTGGCGTAATTTCTGCCTTTGCCGTTTGCCACCTACAGTTGTATGTCTCTCAGCACGTACTTAACCTATCTGAGTCTTCATTTCCTGATCTGCAAATGTGAGGAAATAATAGTACCAACTTCCACACAGCTGTTGTGAGACTTAAATAAGAGTAAAGCATTTCACACTCTACCTGGCTGTAGCACAGAGTAAGCATTCTAGCTATTATTAACTTTGTTTTTATTTTTTTTTATTTTTTGGCAGCTGGCCAGCCTGGGGAACCAAACCCTTGACCTTGGTGTTACAAGGCCCTGTTCTAACCAACTGAGCTAACCAGCCAGCCCTATTATTAACTTAAATAGACCTATACAGTCTCCCAAACAAGTAGCAAATTACACTACTGGTCCCAGCACACCACTGAGCACACAGCAAGTACACAATAAATGTCTGATAAATGCTGTTAATCAGAGTAAACGTCTGGTAAGTGCTATTAACCGTGGTTAAGAGGCCTTAGGTCTAGCCCATCAGTCAACTGCACAACTTCGGGCACATCCTTTCCTCTATCTTCCCAATCTGCAAAATGAAGCTGGACCACATACCTCTAAGGTCCTTTCTAATTCAGAAAGATTCCCAAGAGCAGTCAAGTGGATAAACTGATTCGGCTTATAAGCTTATTAGACCTCCTACAAGTGTTTATTTTGCCTGAATTGGGTGTATGTAAATAGGAAAATCACTCTCCGGACCTCAGTTTCCTCACCTGTAAAATGCGGATGGAAAACATCAACATTACAGGGTGAGGCATAAACAAAAGCATATGTGGCAGAGCTTCACAAACCACTAAGCCCACGTACGATAATGATACCACATCAGTAACACCAATCTCTTCGGTCAGGACCCCCATATGCAGCAGGCAGAGCTGAGCATTAGACGTGGGATCCAATTCCAGCCCCGCAATTGTTGGCTATGTGAGCTGTGACCTCAGAGAAGGCAGGCACTTCACACACATTATCTCACTCAATTTCCGCACTGAAACCTTGCAAAGTAGGTTTGATTATCCCCAAGGAATTGGGAGCAGCCCCTGCTCTTCCTAGAGAGAGGACAACCCCCAAACCCCAGTCCTCGCGAGGCTCAGACCCAGCCACGCCGGCGTCATTAGCATATATTTGCGTGTATTTACATACAGCATCTCCGAACAGCCAGGACCAGGCACACCGGGGTGGAGAAGGGTTGGGTCAACGGCGGCACATGGCGGCCAAAGGCTAGCGCTCGGGGGGGCCTCTGCGGTCCTACCTGGCTTCGCTCTCGGTGTTCTCGCTGCCGGGACTTTGCCGCCTTCCGGAAAGCCGCCGCCATGTCTGCTCAGTCCTGGAAAAACTCAGCGGACAACAGAGATCCCTCACTGCCTCAGCCGACGTGCCCACTGACCCTACCGGAAATAGGCCAAGCAGTCACGGCTTAGAACCGCCCACTTCGCCTCTGCAGCCTATCCGGAGCCTGCTTTTCCGGAAATACATCCTTCAGCAATGGCGGTCACGCAGGCTGCTTCTGGGAAGTGTAGTTTCTTAGGTCTAATCTCGTTGCTGTGCAAGAGCAAGTTTTCATTCGCCAGAGCCTGTCCGCGGCCACCGAGATCTCGCCTTCGCGCTCGGCGGCGCATTGACACCCGGGAACACGTGGCTGGCGCTGCCCTGCGGCCGAGCTGGGCTTGGCGTGTGCGCATGTGCAGTTACCTACGGCTGTTGTCCGATTGCCAGATCTACTCCCTACGTTGGAAGCTCCGGGCCCTGCGAATTTTTGTGTTGGGCCTCAGAACACGCCCCAAAATATACTTCTTTGGCATATTTTGAGTGGGTTAATCTGAGAAACTGCAGACATAAGGGTAGTTCTGAAAAACTATTCTTTTGTAAAAGAAATTTACATCTATAAAGGAAATCTACATTGTAAAATAAAAGTCCTGGCTCACTTAACTATGAGGGCACTTTCTGAGAAATGCGTTAGGAGATTTGTTCATTGTGCAAACATCATGGAGTGTATTTATTCAAACCTAAATGATATAGCCGACTACACACTTAGACTATATGGTATAACCACTGTCTTGTGTGCAGTTCCTTGTTGGCTGAAACATCCTTATGCCTTGCAAAACTGTATCTGTACCAGATTAAGAGACTGCTTGGAGACAACTTTTATTAGCTAAGAGAGTTTACCTTTATTCACCATATGTTTCCTATCCTAAGTCTGCTACCAGCCAAGGCAAAGTTAACTTTGCTGAGCCTCTGTCTCCCCATCTGTAAAATGGGGGTAATACTAGTACTATACCCACAGGATTGTTGTGAGGATTAAATGAAATAATATGTTTAAAGTGCTTAAAGCTGTGTTCACTCCTTAGCAAATTCACAATAAAATGGAGCTGCTATTGTTATTTTTGTTATTATTAAACCAGCCTCTAAGTCTAGAGAGAGGGTTGGGAATAGTAGAGCATTCCAGAGGCATTTGGTTTCTTTTCCACCATGTGAAGCTGACCTTCAGCAAGTTCTGTAATTGCGTCCATTTCTCACGACCAGGGTCACCCCTCCAGCTGAGGAGTTCAGAATAAGTCCTCTCCTCAGTCCTTGTAAGCGCCAGTCCAGTCGAACAGTGGGCATGAAAGAGCTAAAAGTATGAGTTTGAACCTTCCCCAACTAGAGCTAATGCATTATCAAAATTCCATCTCATTTACCACTTACCATTGAAACACAAGGCCCTTCATCATCTGGCCTGTATTAGTCCATTTCTATTGCTTATAACAAAATATTTGGAACTGGGTACTTTGTCAGAAAACGAAATTTATTGCTTACAGTTTTGGAGGCTGGCAAGTCCAAAGTCCTGGGACCACATCAAGTGAAGGCCTTGGTGGTGACAGTAATACAGGGGGTGTCACATGGCAGAATGGCAGAACAGAGGGAGAGATTCTCATGTGCTTTACTTTTAAAGCCCTCAGAACCACACCCATGAACTAGGGCATGGTCCTTGCAATCTAATCACTTCTTTGAGGCCCCACCTTTCAATTATAATAATAGGATTTCCCACCCTTAACAGTTACAGCAGGGATCAAGCTTCAGTGAGTTTGGAGGGCATTAAATCTACAGCATTCCACCCCTGACCCCTCAAAACTGATGTCCTTTTCACATACAAATACATTCATCTCCAGTCTTAACTTGTTTCAACTCAGAAGTCCAAAGTTCCATCTGTGAAATCAAAATGAGTTATCTATTTTCAAGATAAAATGGTGGGGCAAGTTAGGGTACATATTCCCATTCAAAAAGGGAGAAATAGGCCAAAAGAAAGGGGTGACAGCTCCCAAGCAAGTCCAAAACCCAGCAGGGCAGGCATCAAATCCTACAGCTGGTGAATCACGTACCTTGATTCCATGTTAGACATTCTCTGCAAACTGGTATGGGGATTGGGCCCCAAGTCCTCAGGCAGCTCTGCTTCTGTAGCTTTCCTAGTCTTGAGAGATGCTTAAGCTCTTGCTCATGGTAGCTGTACAGCTCCACGAAGCATGGCAGTGGTGATGGTTTTCTGCTACAACTTCGACCTCGCATTTCTGCTCAGCATTACTCTAGTAAAGGCTGTCTGTGGTGTCTCTGCCCCACGATAGCTCTCTTCCTGGGTCCCCAGACTTTTCCATACATCTTTTGAAATTGGGGTGGAGGCTCCCAAGCCTCCACAGCTCTGGCATTCTGTAAGCCTGCAGACTTAACACCACATGGAAGCTGCCAAGGCTTCTGGCTTTCCAAAGCTTCAGGTCCAGCCACACGTGGGGCCAATTTAGCCACAGCTGAAGCAGCCAGGGTGCTGGTGCTGGAAGTAGCTTCCCAAAGTGGCCTTGGGCAGCAAGCCCATGGAGGGAACCTCAGGCCTGTTCCCTGTGACCATTCTGCCTCCCCAGGCCTCTGGGCCTGTGATGGAAGAAGTGGCCCCAGAGACTTCTTCAATGCCTTCAGGACCTTTTTCTCCTCTTGATAATCCCTTTCTTCTCTACAAATCCCCTTAGCAAATGGTTGCTGGGCTGCACCATTGAATTGTTCTCTAAAATAGTCTCTGCTTCTCTACCCCATGGCCAGACAGAAAATCCTGACTTTGTGTCATGCCTTTTCTGCCATAACTCAGTGTAGGGTGTTACACGTAGCCATGCAGCTTCCTGAATATTTTGCTGCTTAGAAATTTCTTCTGCCAAATACCCTGGGTCAGCACCTTGAAGTTCCACATTCCATGAAATTTTGGGGCATGAACAGAATGCAGGCAAGTTCCTTGCCAGTTCATGGCAAGGGTGATCTTTGCCCCAGTTTCCATAAGTCCCTTTTCATTTACATCTGAGATCTTCTCAGTAGGGCCTTTACTGTCCATGTTTCTATCAACATTCTTCTCACCACTATTTAACCTGTCTCTAAGAAGTTCCAAAATTTCCCTGGTTTTTTGTCTTCTAAACTCCCACCAGCAGCTAGGCTTTTTCTAGCCATGGCAAGGGTGATCTTTGCCCCAGTTTCCATAAGTCCCTTTTCATTTACATCTGAGATCTCAGTAGGGCCTTTACTGTCCATGTTTCTATCAACATTCTCCTCACCACTATTTAACCTGTCTCTAAGAAGTTCCAAACTTTCCCTGGTTTTTTGTCTTCTAAACTCCCACCAGCAGCTAGGCTTTTTCTAGTCCGCTCATTCAAATTCTTCCAGCCTCTCCTCAACACCCAGTTCCAAAGCCACTTCCACATTTTCAAGTAATTGTTATAAGCAACACCCCGCTTCTCTGGTACTAATTTTCTGTATTAGTCCTTTTATGTTGCTTATTATAACAAAATACTTGTAACTGGGTACTATGTAAGGAAATGAAACTTATTGCTTACAGTTTCAGAGGCTGGCAAGTCCAAAGTCCAGGGACCACATTTAGTGAAGGCCTTGCTGGTGACAGTAACACAGGGGAGAATGGTGGAGCAGAGAGAGAGAGAGAGAGAGAGAGAGAGACTCTCACATGATCTTCTTTTAAAGCCCTCAGAACCACACCCATGAACTAGGACATGGTCCTTACAATCTAATCACCTCTTTGAGGCTCCACCTTTTAATTATCATAATAGGATTTCTCACCCTCAATAATTACAGTGGGGATCAAGCTTCAGTGAGTTTTGGGTGGGGGGGCATGCAATCTATAGCATGGCCCATGCCTACTTTTCCAATCTTATCTTGACTGAGAAGCCCAGCCATCAGGCAGAGTAAGCAGGTGGCAGCCTCAGCCACACCTACCACTTCCCCTGAAGAATGTATTGAGTAACCAGCACACCCAGGAAAAGCCAGATCTATGCAGTGGAAGACAGGACTCTGGAATCAGCCCCAGATTTGAATTGCACGTCTACCAGCTATTAGTTTGTGATTTGGGGCTGCATTATCTAACTCTAATGTCCTACTCTGTAAATGTTGATAATAATAATAATGACCACCTCATATGGTTTTTGTGAGGACTGAAGGAGGTAATGATTGACACTTAGCATGGTTTCCTGCACGCAGTCAGCATTTAACCAAGTTAATTCTCCCTCTGCTCTCTGAAAAGTCACTCATTTCACCCTCTCCACCCACAATCCATTGTCAGGCTTGGAGTCACAAGGAAAGTTTCTGGGCTTTGAAAGAGGGTGTCTGCTAAGCCTTGAGGCCTGCAAGAGCTGTAAGCAGTGCAGTGGGCAAGTGTGAGCAATACACCCAGAGAAGGAAGGATGTGTTCTCGCTAGGGGGAAGGAGGGCTTGTGGTTACAGGCATCAGAGAGTGATTCAGCACCCAGAGGAAACCATGACAAGCCTGTCAGTAGTCACTCACGGTTTCCTTCTGAAAACTCTTGCAAGGTGAGAGAACAGCTGGGAGACCCTGAGCATGAGATAAGGAAGGGTGCATGGGTACCTCCTGGGTAGGTGAAGGGACAACCAGATCCTACTCACCAACGCCAGACATCCAGCACTCAGGCTCTGCTTCCAGCCCCAGCTCAGACACACCTGTTTCCCAGGGAGGGGTGGAAGACAGATGGGGATCAGGAACAGGGAGTCCATGTGGCTGATCCCTAGGCCTCCCTGGGGCACGTCCTCCTGGGTCAATGGAAACAGAGCAAGCAGGGAAATGTGAGCCCACTGGGGAGCTGGAAATGGAGAAAGAAAAGCACACATTCCCCCACCCTAAGCCAGAGATCTAACTTTCTCTGGCCTCCAGACTCCAAGTCCAAGCAGGAGAACCTTAACACTTGACCATGAGAGGAGTGAGTATGGGGGGTGGGGGTTTGAGGGGTGATATTCCCACATACTGAAGGCCTATTTGTGTGCTCTCATCCAATCCTCACAACAATGCTGTGAACAGTCATTTACCCTTAACAGATGAGGAGACTGAGGCTTTCAGAGGTTAAATAATTACAGATGCTGTAGA